AGGAAGAAAGAATCTCAAGGAAACTGGAGGAGGCGGCGAGGACGGTAAAGTGGAGGTCTAATGGAGATAGGATGACACTTGAGCGGAGTGGGTGAACAAGCAGAGAAGGGATAAAGTCCACTCCATTTCTTTTCTGCCTCTCCAATGAAAGAAAATTATCACCGTCCAGTGAAGAATGTCAGATGTGTCACGGGTTGACAGGGAAGGAGTGCTTGATAGATCGCAGGTGCAGCACAGATGAGTGGAGACGCATTTACCGGATGTATAGCAAGAATGTATACTTTTCACTTTTAAATCTCACTAAATAACCTGCTTGAGCTTTCAATCTGTTGTACAATTGTCCAACATAGCAGTGGCGTTAAGGTTCAAGGCCAGGCAAAGAACCGAGAATCACAACCCTTAAATTCCATAATCTATAACAAACCCACATGTACAGTATATAAGCCATAATATAATGGCAATGTGTCTATTATTACATACTATGATATATATTTATACTGCATTTTTCAAATTCAACAAAGTTTCCCAAAGCTCTGTTATTCTTAGCTGGCCAGCCAGAACCACACACTTTGAAAAAACTTTACAAAGACAAACATATCTGGAGCCGGATCCTGTTTAACTGATTTCAGAGGGCGTGATTGACAGGTGGACTAACCAATCAGTGAGACGCATGCTCGTGTCAAAAACAAACATGGTTGCTTATACATAAAAAAGGGAGAAATATCAACAATGACTGAGAAATAGTGCAGATTTTTACAGAATCAACAATGGAAGCACCAAACTATTACTTATTTCAGGTACTGATAGATTTAGTTCTGAATGTTCTGAGTGTTGCCATAATTTTGTAGAGGGGATGTCTTGCATTTAAGGGACATGTGCTACAATTTAGTGGCTGTGTTTGGATCATCTCAAGTTTGGATGGAGGCTTTTCACGCTCTGTGGTCTGGTTCCAGTTCCTTCTGGTTTTGAACAGAAAGTAGAATAAACTGGCTAGTCAAGCAACTATTATTCCTTCCCTCCATATCTAGTTGCAGACGAGGTGAAGCAACGCTGCCAATCTGAGCTACTAGCTCCTCAGACTACCACAAATCACTCACTAACACACCGCATTTTTACATCAACAAGGTGGGAGAAGTATCTTGCCCAGGAACACAACAAAAATATTATCCCAACAGGAGCAGATGGATGAGCACTCTAACCACTAAGCTACTGCCAATAAAGTTATGTCTACCTAGCCGGTTGGTTTATCATTTCTAAAACTAAAATCCAAATTTACCCACTGACAGCTGTCTAGGAGATGACCTGCAGTCTCCAATGTATTCAGTTATGACAGGCGGCGGAAACACATCAGCGGATGCTATCTCATGCATTGCTTTGATGGCTTCCCCGTTCTGAAGTGACTTTGGCGCTGGCGGTGGCGTCTCTGTCGCTCACAGACACAGGGGCTGATTGCACCCCGGGGCCACACCTGGAAACAATATTCTAATTACGTTAATGTGTAAAATCCCAGCGACGTGGCGTTCAGGCGCCGCTAATCTGATGGGAAAGCCGCCTTTGTTACGGGGAGGAGACAGGAGGAGCAGCACCTGTTTGGGCACAAATGTTGCTCAAAATTATGGCTGTCAAGTTATCCAGAGCGCGGCAATTACAAACGACAGTCAGTCTCTGTCGCTCCACACAGCACCGTTTTACAATGGTTTTCTTTGCCAATTTTAATGATGACCTGTCAGAGCATTTCTGCAATGCAATATCATCAACAATTTGATACAGATAATTTAGAGCAGTCATCTCCTTCATTAAAGAAATTATTAGTGAAAATAGTGAAAAAAAGTGAAAACAATTGTCATTGCTTCACAAGGTGGTTTGACCAGTTGCGCCAGTTGTTAAAGGTCCTATATTATAGAAAATTGACTCTTGAGAGCTTTAAGCATAAGTTGTATATATAAAAGGACATACCTAATGTGCTCGTTGTTGTGTTCAAAATAGGAAGTTGGCATGGAGGCTCTTCCAGCTCCTTCTGACCCTGGCTCCTACTGACTTACATTAGAATATTGTCATCCCTCTCTCTGTAACTGCTGTTTGAACCTCATCATTTTGGTGTTCATGTTAACCTGCTCTACATGATCCTGGTGGGTTTTTTCCCCCCGCTGTTTTGTCCGTCAAAAAATCCTATTTCTAATATGAAGCCTGGCTCCAAATTCACTCCTGTAACCATTAGCATCGCAAGCTTCATTTGACTGGAGCTGAATGCTATAGGTGACGTCACACTCGCTTAGTCCACTTTTTATACAGTCTACGGCTTTAAGCCTTGTTATAATGCTACTTCTTCAAAAACATACCCAAAGATGTGTTTTGTTTCATTCACACATGAATGAGTAATCCTTCATTATTTGTCTGTTTATGTCTCCAAAGCTCAAAATGCTCTGCTCTGTTCCATCTTATGATGTCATTAAGCGATAGATTTCAAGTTAACAGCTACCTTTTACCTTTCGTTTAGAAGATGCTGTAAATTTCAGGGCTGAAATCATCCAAGCCACACAGGAGAGCACTTCCTGTATTACCACATGACAAATATGCAGGATTTGTGTGTTAAACATGTGAGAATGAAACAAAACACTCATTTTGTAACCGCATGCGCACCTCACTTATTCACTTTTTATATAACTTGTGGCCAGTTCACCTTCCACATTGGATATATTTTGATATCGCACCACAACTTGCCCCTTGACAATCATAAAGTAATTCTCACACTTGCTAAACAAAGAGTTAAGAATTTGCATTTTATTAGCGCGCAAACAATGGCAACATATATCAGACCTAAACACAAGGAGCCCATCCTACTCCCAACCTTGCATACAACCCAATCCAACATCACTTCTGCTTGTTATTTTGCTTTGACATCTTTTGTTGCATTGGGTGTCACAGTATGAAACCTTCATATATCGAATGTCAACATTTGTGACACAATATGAAAGTGTTGCGTTACAATCGAGCAGGAAGAACCCACCCCACCCTCCATCTTTCTCCCACCCTGCCTCCCGCCTCGACCCCCCACCGCGAGGCACATCCACCGTATGGAGACTGACAGCCCTTGCTACGTCTCTCCGTCGTGTCAACTAGCTCGCGCCCTCAGTTCCTCCTCGCTTCAATGAAGAGATAAAAGCCTATTGACTTGCCGGGCTACAGTTAATGCAAATTGGGCCCCGCTATCAATGTATTATTTATGGGGTAGAGCTGCCGACGTTTTCCACAGAACTGGGAGCTAGGCTTACAGGAGATTAGGCATGCTATCTCATTCATTTAGCGGCGAGTAATTGCTAAAGCATGGAGGAATTAGGATGCTCCAGGTCCCCTCAAGGCGCTTCATCTTGTAACCAGGTGGCTGCCGTCGGCCAACCACCTTCACGTGTGAGATAAATAAGGTACAAAGAAGTGAGACCCAAGGCGTGGTGGTATAGTCAGGATGTATAATTTATGTAATATTCACTAAATAGCATCGGAAACTGCTGCAGAGCTGATTACAAACAGACTTGTTTATCCATCCAGCTCCCTCGAGACATTCTGTTTGTATTTAATGTTGTTACAATTTGTCATTAGCAGTGAGTATCATCTGATGTACGGTGTAAAATAACATACGCATTTAATAAAAAGAGCAATAACATATGTTGTTATTGGTATATTCAAGACAATGCAATATACAAAGATGGAAGTATTAAAAGTTAAGTTCCAGATACTTCCACATAATATGCACTTTAACAACAAATTTGTTGTTAAACAACAAATTTGGACACACCATCTTATTCAGTGTTTTTTTGTTTTTGTTTTGTTTTTTTGTTTTTACTATTTTCCACATTTTAGATACAAACAGGACACATCAAATATGAATGAAGCAAGATATATAGAATTATTTAATCAAGAAAAAACTTAAATAACTCTTTTTGTCTTTGCTACATAATTCAATATATCTCCCATCATATATTTCATGTTTTCTGTCTGTATCTAAAAGGTAGAAAACAGTAAAAAAAATATATATAATAAATAATAACTTTAAATGAGAGGGCATGTCTAAAGTTTTGACTGGTAGTGTAGATGAAGGTAAATTATGACAGTTGATGTAGGTAAATTATCATAGAATAAGTAAAAGTGGTAAGAGGAGTAAAGTATACTTGAGTATTTGAAGGAGCGTTGCACTGATCCAGCTTTTTCTGTTCTGATGTCGATACTTTGGCTTTAAGTTTCTGAAGATACCTGATATCAACTAATACTAGAGCCAAGATGGAAAATTTTATGTGATTCCTAGCACAAACAATGTATGGTCAAAATGATTCAGTGTGTTTTAACTGTTATTCAACATTTGAAGTAACTACAACAACAACTACAACAGCTGCAAAAATACAAGTTTGATATTACAAGATGTTTTGAGCAAACTTTGGTCACTAAACAGTGTTATTATACCAGTTTATAGACCAAAATGGGATATTGAATGAACCGAGATTTTGGAACCAATATCAGTGCAGACATCCAATTCCAGTATCATATCGGAGTATCCCTAATAAGAAGGAAAAGACATGATTCATAAATTACCATTCATGATAGTATATAGCATTTTATTTCTTTTTTTTTTTCCAATGTAGGCATTGCCAGTGGTAGCAATAGAGCTGTAACTCCTGCAAAGATTAATTTGCATTTTGTTTTTATGTTTGTTTATGTGTTATCCCACATTATGGCTTTTGATGTCAAAATACCAGCAAATAGGTCTATCATAATTAACATAATTATAACAATAACCAAAGGCCCATAAACAACTTAAACTGAACCGTGTAATGGCATTTCTAAACAATGCAACTCTCAACTGTTGTCAAACCAGTATAGTTTATAACTTCCTCCACTTTTAGACTTTTAGACTTCTTTTTTTCCTTGAGAGCTCAGATTTGTTATGCCTCATCCCTTTGACTTGCACATGGCAGGTGAACAAACCCAAACACCAAACGCAGCCTTACCTTTTCGTCAATGTCAGTCTCGCTGTCACACTGCAAGAGAAAAAGAGACACAGGAAATATAAGGAATTATTCATTTGTGCCCCCTGCTAGCAACTCATAATCAGTGCAGATGTTATTTTTGTATGCACCCTCATTCACTGACAGCTTTCTTCAGCGCAAAACCGCAAAAGGATGAAGAGGGGAAGGAAACTGTGGCAATGTCTGAGTGAGTGAGTGAGTGAGAGAGAGTTTGTTTCAAAAGCAAAGTATTGTGGGGTTTCAGTCTTGGATTCAATGTTGCAAATTTACAAAAGATGAAGAAGTGAATGCTACATGCTGACTGCCTTGTATTATAAATGCTCAATGATGGCTTGTCGTTTAGCCTTTTAAGAGCGCTCGGAGACTGGGTGATAGTATCTCAAGGACACAGGGAGCTGGTGAATAGCTTTTAAGTGTGGTATTTCTGACAAGCAGCACTTTAATTTGTCAGACAGAGTAACGGCATAACAGGAGAGCTGTATTCTCAAAAGCAACCAAAGGCCAAATTGTCTGCTATTGAAGGAAAAAGTGAATTGGATTTTCTTAGTTAGTTATTATGAGTCATTTTTCCTATTAACACTTGCAGTGATCAGGCAGTGGCATTGCGGTTAAAAGTCCAATAGATTAAGAACACTAGAAACAGTTAGCACCGCGTCTTTCTTTTATGCATGTTAACAGGTAGAAGGGGCTTTCGTATAAATGGAAAAAATGTATTGCATATGAGAGAACATATGGGAGTTGTATTTCAAGTAAACAAATCTTAACTACAACAACCACAACCATGATATACACTTTTTACAGTATGTCTGTGTAATCCCTCAGTCATCCATAACAAAATAATTCAATTCTGTCAATTGGGCAAATGCTTTTTGAAGACATTTCGCAGTTCATCCAAGCCACTGCCTTATATATGTCTGCTGAAAGGAGCTAAGTGCACTGAAACTACTCTGAAAGTAACACACCTACATGTTTACAGATTCTGTTTATTAGCTAGGTCTACTGAACTGTGTGTGAGTGTAATATATAAAGATATTTGCATTTAAGTTGCATTTCTTATACTGTATGTGTTTTGGTTTAATTCAAATCAGCACATCTTATATTGGCTTGACTAATTTGCAATCAGTTCATATGATTTTGCAGGTTGCAATATCCTGTGTAAGTTTTTGGTTGGGGGGTCTGTCACCTGCTTGTTTCTATGGATATGTCAGTGCTCTCCCTGGAATATTCCACATTATGACATTAAACAGTACACCTTACATTTCATTCAATCACAAGTGGTTTTATAGCTCAAAATTACACAGTAAAATAAGCATTCTGACTGTGAGCAAGGTTGCCTTTCCAAAGATATTACAGACCTAGTTTGGTTTCCATGAAGATTTTTTTAATACTATAAGCAATAACATCTCCATGGAGAAAAGCATTTGATTTGAAGTTTGAAGTTACACAATGGACCTTTAAGTCCTGTATTACATAGAGCTTTACGTTATAGGATACTTAAAAAGTTGTGTAATCCTGAGCAGTGCCTTTGCTGTCTATCCTACTGGACCTCACATCAGGATGCATGAGGGCCAGAGTAACTCAAGCGAAGAGCCGCAAAGACAGAGGAAGAGGCCCCCGGTGAAAAAAGTGCTTCCAATCTGTCAATTAAGTCCCTGTGGCACCATATTTAAGTGGGCTCTCTTTATTTAGTTTGACTCCCTCTCTGAGCCGTGCACAAAGACGAGGCATCCAGGTCAATGGAGCCACAGCAGTCCTTTGTCAAAGAATGCGGTGGGTCCAAATGTGTAATTAAGTAACGAGAGTAATCAGCGGACAGGGCTCAGCAGCCAGGATCAGAGAGAGGAGGAGAAGGGGGGAGGGGGAGGGAGGGTTACTAAGTTATTCCTGTGTAAAGACCAGGGTTACAGCATGGTCAATAACTGATTATGTCTTGGTTTACTGGGATGAAAACTGACTAAAATCTCTATCTCCACGAAGACAAACAAGTAAAACTACAAGCAAGCCACCAGGCCAAGTTACAGGTCATATACGTGGAGAAGCAAGCTCACTTAAAGTTTTTCAGGCCTACTACTGTAGTATCATATGTATTGGCAAACCCTAAAATCAAACTACTAGTATATTGCTGCTAATGTACATTATTATTACAGTACTGCTAAAATAATAATAGCCCATACAATTGCTATACTTTGTACAGTTAGATCCTTTTATGCGTGGCATTATGGAGTTTTTTTGATGGGAGGCATATTTCCAAGCATCATGCTGTCTGCTCCCTGAGAAAATGTTCGCAAACCCTAATTTAGGGGCTTGGGCTTGTCAAAAGACCTTCATTACAGACTGCTGGGCATTAAGACAGAAAGTGGCTTATGCTTACTGTCAATCAATTCCCCATTCAGCCTGGGAATTCTGGACAAATTAATTGTTAGTCATTTCTGTGCAGCTTGTTAGGGCCGCATCACAACCTGTAATCATCACCATTTGTTCCCTCGCCACTCATTTTATCTACAAGGAAACACATTCAAACCGTGGTCTTGAGGGATGCGAAAATTACAAAAAGCGAAAATTGATCCAGACTGCACCTTCACCAAGCCTCAAGGCAACTAACGAAAATATATTTTTAGCATGCAGTTTGTCAGAGCATCTCCCAGTAGCTGCAAACTCTCATCTGCTGGTTTAAACCCGGGGTGATTGAGAACCGACTATCTATTCCCAGGTTGCATGCTTGGCCTTGTTGTTGGAGAAGTAGCCATGACACGAGAGATGAGGCCTCACAAGCCCGGAGCTGGCGAGGAGGAAAAATAATATTACAAGAGCACAGCATGGGGCTTATCCTTTTACAAGAAGCATAGCACTGCAGCAGAGTGTGAAGACGAATACTGGCTGTAGCTCAGACAGAGATCCACCGCGACACAGCACAGCGGGGAAGGCAGAGGCAAGAGGGGGAACTGAAAAGCAGTGGGAGTGCGATCATCGAGAAGACAAGATGGATGCAGGGAATCAAAGTCTAATTTTAGTAACATGCAATCATATTCTTGGTTTTGTTTAAGGAAAGGTTAGCATTGTGCTAAGTTTTTAGAGTTTTAAAGTTCTCCACTAGTTTTCGAGTCTTTTACTTCCTGAATTTGTATGGGCATTGTTTCCTACTATTGCAGATAGTAACTGGACACAGTTTATCAGCTTATAAATTCATATTTTGTGAATTTTGTACATTGCTTAGACCCTCTGTTATTCACAAACTAGAGTTGTCAAAAACTGTACAGTTTCTAATCGATGCTAAAACTGGTGTCAAAGTATGTTTTTGAAAAAGTATCAGTATTTAAAAAATGACAAACAGAAAAATCTGTGTGTTATCATTATGGTATTTAAATCAGTATAGAGCCTTTTCCTGAGTATTGAAATTGATTGAAGTTTTAGCATTATGACAACGATATCATAGACTAAGAACCTAAGAAACAATCCCGAAATGTAAGATGTTTTATACTGTTCTAAATGTGACTACACCATCAGATGGGAGAAATAAGTTGTTGAGAGCTACATGCAAATCCACTAAGGGGACATCAATGTGTGGAGCTACTAAATACAGAATATCAAATGGAGAAAACTCAAAAACCACCACTCTGTGCACAAAGCTCCCTAAACAGCAGGTTTGGCGGTCAGCTGGGATGTTGTTAAAATCCGAGAGAAATGCTGCTCGCTAAGTTGCTTGACAGTTGCTGAGCCCCTAGTGGTTCCCGTCTCTCATACGTCCATGTTCACTTCCACACAAACCCCCTGAAATATGAAAAAAAAAAAAAAAAAAAAAAACCTGGCTATGTCTTCAGAGGCAGAGAGCAAGCAGCAACATCTGCACCTGGCAACTGGAAGCTTGCAAAGGTACCAAGGGAGAGACCCAGGCCCTCCCACCTCTCCCGCTCTCCGCCAGCACATCAGACGGATGCGTTTGACATTTACACAGCTTTCAACACTTCAGAGGCGCTAGATTTATTCTGCCAGAAACCCTGTCTGGAGCCATGCCTCGACCTAGAGCAGGCCCCCACCACAACCCTGCAGCTTAGCCCCAAAATGAGCCACGAGTAAGGAAAGGGAAAGGAGGAGAGTGCTCAGTGCTCCTGGACATTTTCTAATAGACTTTCTAAATGTACTGGAAAGACAATAAGAGCGCATTAAAATGACTAGCCAAATGAATCACGCAGTTCTACTTGTCCCACTCCGAGGACGATGTGCCATGATTCTGCCCATGAGAAACTGTTGGCATTGTGTCAGCACCTGTCTGGCTGAGTAGATAGCACTGATTTGCTTTATGGCTTCAAATTTTGTTGTTTTGTATTTTCATCTTTTGGCATAGTTAAAAATAAATATACAAAATAGCTTTGGTTAATAAACTTTATCTCACTTGTCTTGATGGGCTGACATCGGAAATTAACCAACTGAAGATGCCACAGAAGATGTCTTTCAAGATGCAACCTTTTCTATTCATCCAGCCCTTTGGAGTAGGTGCAAAGTTTAGACCAGCTTTTCTCTCCTTGTGGTTAGCATTGATACATATATAGATTAATCAAGGATAATCTAAAACACATAACTGAAAGGTGTCAAAATGTTGACAAGGTGCTTCTATGAAATGATGTCCAGAGAAATCTGAAAGATCAACCGCTTAACCTGACATTTAGTTCAAGTGGATAAAGGCGTCAAACTAACAATACAGCAATCCTGGCATCCTGACAGCGTTGTAAAAATAGCTTCAATTTAGAGGCCATCTTTGCTGGAACATACACAGATATCGCCCTGATTGTATGGAGGAGAGAAGTGACAAAGCCCGATCTCCTGGAGTGAGAGCACACAGAGAGGGTAATGGGCCATTTAGATAGTCCAGGACCAAAGCAGAATCTGATACTGCTGGAACAACACCAATTTCCTCCTGCAATTTCCCTCCTGTGGATGCTGGGATGAGGTCTGAGGATGCTAGCGTGGTGGGGACATGAAAGCACAGGTTGGGGTCCACTTGGGGACCTCCTGCC